TGACATCCATAAGAGTTTACCCAGAGCATGTGGATTGGCGTCGAAATTATCGTATGAAACGCTGGTTACTTTCCACCCATATGGTAGGTATAGACCAGATAAAATAAGCTGTCTGTTACCGAGAACTTGGCCAACCTTATTAAGGTAAGCGGGTGGCCCATTTATGTTGCTTCCTAATCTCTGAAGTTGTGTCACGTTTAGGATCAGTCCTGGTGCCTTTCTGAATGTATGCAGACGCTTCACCTATATCTCAGCGAGATTAGCCAGGTTATGGCGAACACGGACTGTCCATATACCAATTTTATTTTCAATGTAAAAGACAATAATGTCCACTATGAATGTCAGGTTGGAAAAAACAGCTTTCTCGGCAAGGAATATATTGATTTTGTTTTGTTTCTTATAACTGAACTAAATACGTTGTTTTTTGTTTCCTAACAGCTTTTGGATTATTAAAACAATTTTATGTTCTCAATTCATTTTGGCCCAAACTGAAGGCTGGTTAAATCATAAGTCAGCCAACTGCCAACTTGCCACCTGCTGTTGAGCCCAAAAGGGCTGCCACAAATCAATGTCTGACAGAAATTTGCCAACTTCTTGGCAAGCTCAGCAAATAATGTAAGTAAGTGGCAAAAAAATATAAATTGTTCTAGCAATTTAACAATGTGCGAAAAATTAAATTTACGTCGACCATTTAGATATTGAGGCATTGGTTCATTGAAGCAGCTACAGAAACTCTCATAATGTATTTGGTTGCATTTAGACTATAATATTCTAACACAATCTTAATCGAATTACTACATTTTCCGTTACAAAAGCCGCACACTTCTCCAATTCGATATGTGGCAATTACAAAACTGTCAACTGGTCAATAAGATTTCAACACAAAAAGGTTCAGAAAGCAAGAGTACAGTTGATAACTTTGAACTAAATGAAAAAAGCGTAAAATATCTACGAATAGGGGACACCCTGTGCCCAGCTACGATCTCTGTATGCTATACCAGATATCTAGCTTGAATAAATCTAAGGTATACATCGATTTGTATCGATCTAGTAAGGGGCCCTTCGATGGTTTAGAACATACGTGTGTTCAGAGAAGTAACGCTTCAAGGTTTTAGATATTCCGCTTTTTAATTTCATATGCATTATAAAGTTTAGTAATCCAAAAGTAAGTTGTATTGTTATTTATTGCGTTATTATATTTGTCTACAAATTGAGATATCTTATAATATGACATATAGATACGTGCAACATAATTAAGATGTCGCCGGTTGCTGCGCCTTGCATTTTCTACTGCTTCAAAGGCTTTCCTTGAGATTGGATTAACAATATAATTGCAATGTCATATCAAGTATATGTACAGAACTGCACCAGCCAGATTCGTGCATTGGCAACTTATTTATCTAAAGCTATCATGCGCATCAAGGATTACCTTAATTACTAATTAAAATTGTTCGATTCACTTCATGTGTCCAGAAAGCAGAAAATTCAGGCTACAACGGTTGAGAGATGATATTATGCTTATTTAAAGGCGAATGCATTGTTCTTGAATTTCCATAGCCCAAGCTCTCATCAATAGGATGACAAGCGAGAGACGTTAAAATTGAATATATGTAGGTTCCTTCTGGGAAGCATGTTAATGTGCCTGTACTCGAATTATGTATAGGCGAGTCAAACACATATCCATACGAGCATGCATGTATTCGTCGGAACATGAGAATGGTTATTGAGTAGGGGAAGAGGAGCTGGCAGCATCTTGATTCTAGCTCTGGCCTGTGATTAAAATGATATTTTCAGACAATGTCAAACAGTGTGTGACTAATGGGTCTGGTCTATGGGTTGTCCGAAATGTCTGTTATTACTTGATAAATCTTGTCGGTCACACATTTAGAAGACCAACACTCTGTCTCACACACACACATGCGCACATTTATAATGGTCTGTTTGTGTGTGTACACAGGGCAATCGTTTGTTTGTTTTATGCAAATCCCCCACATTCGAGCCTAATGACAAATGGGTCAAAAATTTGAGGCTAATGACACAAATATGCTTGTGCTATATGCTATAAATTTTATGCATAAATAAACCCGTAGAAGGATAGAAGCGTTTTCCTAAAAAAAAAATATTTATATATATATATATATATATATATATATATATATATATATATATATTAATATATATTAATATATATATATATATATATATATTAATATATATATATATATTTATATATATAAATTTTTATATATGTATGTATGTAAAAAAAGCAACCGGAAAAAGAAGAAGAGAAATGCAAAGAGCACGGCCTGGGCAAACAAGCAAACTATGATTGAAGACTTTCAGGCAACGACCTTTGCGGGCTGCTTTGGCACCGCACATTAATCAATGGCCAAATAAACATAAGATTAACTTAAATGGCCATAAGGGCGCTTTAACATTATAATGGATTTGGTGAAAGGCGAGCGCAGGCGACTAACTCTAACAGCTTTCCAATTGGGAGGGCTCTTAGTTGCAATGCCTGGGTATGATAATAAAAAAAATACAAAAATGCACATATTTAGTACTCAATTGTCTTTAAAATAGAAAACCTGAACTGAAGAGAGAAAATATCAAGAATTTAAAGACCAAAAATACTTGCATTAATCAATACTTTTCCACCAAAAATAAGAATTCGATAAACACGGACAAAGTATAGGTATTACATATACATAGATGTACGTACATTCATGTATGTGTTTATACCTAGAAGAGCATGAAAATACTTGCATAAGCATACACACCCCGTTGCATCCATGCATACACACATACATACAAATATATTTTTGCAAACGAATAGGCCTTGCGACGGCGTCGTCCTATATGTGTACGCATGTATATACAAATAAACATACACACACATTACCGTGCAGTATGTACATCAATGCATGCATATACATATACAGTGGCTCACAGCTTATTTCAACCAGTACATTGAAAATACTTTGCAAAGCTATAAAAACTAAACTTAAAGATACATATATCAAAGTTTTTGAAATGCAGGTTGTTAGCCTGATGCTTAAAGTTATCAACTATGATTACGATAATTTTTTGCAATTTTTTTAAATATTTTATAATAGCTTAAAACTAAGAATTCAACCATAAACAATGTCACAGCTTATTTCAACCAGAGACTTTGCAATTGGGCAATGATCCGTTATCTTACGATGCAACGGTTGTTTCCTTTTTTTTTGCTTTACTTATTAAATTCGCAATATGGTGAAATACATTTTAGCTGAATTTTGAGAATAAATCTTGGGGAAAATTGTATTTAGCGAAATGGGACCACGAACAACTATCGAGCAGAGAGAACTCGAACAGAGAGAAATTTTAAAAACGGTCATTCGCGCAGGAAAATTGGTGAAATGGTTAGACTGAGTGATTCTACAGTGCAGAGTATAATATACCGATTTGTCCGAGAAAATAGAACCCACGATAAGGGGAGAAATGCTCCCAACAAAATTTTTAATTCAACCGACGAGCGTTATATTGTTCGGAAAATCCGGGAAAATCCAAGGCTATCGGCTCCAAAAATAGCCAATGATGTGGAGGTAGAGTTGGGCAAGTCATGCCACCCAGAAACTATTCGCCGAGTGCTTAGGGAACATGATTTCAATGGCAGAATAGCGCGCAAGAAGCCCTTTATTAGTGAGACAAATAATAAGTGCCGCTTAAAGTTTGCCCAGGAGCACTTTAATAAGGACGATAGTTTTTGGAACACCGTCATATTCTGCGATGAGTCCAAATTTAATATTTTTGGCTCTGATGGAGCCTCATATGTGTGGCGTAAACCAAATACAGAGCTGCAAACAAAAAATTTGAAGGCTACAGTAAAACATGGCGGTGGGAGCGTTATGGTTTGGGCCTGTATGTCGGCAGCCGGCGTTGGAAATCTGCAATTTATTGAGACGACAATGGACAAATCTCAATATCTTGAGATTTTGAAAAATAATTTAATAGAAAGTGCGGAAAATCTGGGCATTCGGGATGTGTTCAGATTTTATCAAGACAATGATCCGAAACATAAGTCGGGTATTGTTCAGACATGGTTGATCTGGAACTGTCCACATGTCATGCAGCCACCGGCGCAGTCGTCAGACATAAATGTTATTGTAAATTTGTGGTTCATTTTGGATTCAAACATTCGCAAACGCAAAATATCTAATAAGTTAGATCTAAAAATTGCATTTGTTGAGGAATGGGCCAAAATTTCGCCACAGGTTACCCAAAAGTTGGTAGAATCCATGCCAAAAAGGCTCAAAATGGTTATTGATCACAAGGGTGGTCATACTAAATATTAAAAAATATTGTTTAGCTGTAAACTTTTTATTTGAAATTGAATTAAGAAAATGGTTGAAATAAGCTGTGACATCGTTTTGGGTTGTGATTTTGTTTTTAGTTGTTATAAGATGTTAAAAAAAATATTTAAAAAATATATGAAGTCATAGTTTAAAACTTGAAACAATAATTTAAAAACCTGCATTTATATCATTTGAATATCATTCTTAATTTATTTTTTATAGCTTCCCAAAGTTTTTTTTATGTACTGGTTGAAATAAGCTGTGAGCCACTGTATGTATGTAGTATCTATATAAAAATAAAATAAATAAATGGCGACTTGCATTATTTTCTGTGTACATTTTTACATTTGTACTGGTAGAACTCTTCAGCAAAAGAATTAGAAAAAAATTGAGAATTAAATAATTGAACAAGTGCTGATTTTCTCAATTTTTTTTTGGTCTCTTCATCCTTGCAACTCCCGATAAAGCCGTAGTATTGTAGATTCAAGAATTTTAAAACTTGAATCATTTTTTTTATTCTTACTGATTTTGAAAAGCTTAAATTTAGCAGTACATGTATGCTTAAAATAAGTTTTTTTGTACTTGATTCAAGGAATTTTTTACTTATTTTAAGACCTTATATGAAAAAAAGTAATAATTACACTTAATGCAAGAAGTTGTATATTGATTCGGGCTCGAAACCATACAATCTTGAGACTTGAAGGGACATAAATTAAATTTGTTTGCAATTGTTGCAATTCGGTATTAATTTTGCGATACTTTTCGTAACGTAACCAAGCGATGCTCTTTTCTTGTACGTATGTCAACACTTGAGATAAAACTCTGTTAAATAATAATAATTATAATAAAAGTAATAATAGTAATAACAATAATAATTAATCTCAACCTCTTAATTCAATTGAAATAATACAACAATGTGATATTTGATGGACACTTTTGTTACATTTGCCATATACGTACAGATCGAACTCCAGTTCCAGCTGGACAAGTTAATAAAAAGCCAAATAAATACGAAATCTGTTAAACTGAAACTTCAACATAATCTCATGGCACGTACAGTATGTGATGTATTATTTACATTAGTTGTCCAATTCAAATACAATAACTGCAATACAATGAAGCAGATGTTGTTGGCCAAGGCTGGTACGTTGGTTAGTTCTTTGCTAGCTGGTCTTTATATTTGTATTTGTGTTTGTGTTTGTATTTGTGTTTGTATTTGTGTTTGTATTTGTATTTTTGTTAGTTGTTGGGCGGGCAGACGGACAATGCTGAAAGTTTACATGTGTGTATCCCATAAGAAAATCATGGCTGGCGACAATAAAAAACATACACACACCCACACGTGCACACACTCATGCCTACACACACACACACGCATACACACACACACACACACACACACACACACACAGTTATGGAGCTAAACTAAGGCAAACGTAGCAAGGCACAACCCAAACCCAGATACGAGTACATATGTGGGTAAGAGGAGGGTGACAAAAAAAAGCGCAGAGACCTAAACAAATATGCAGGAAGCGTGACAGCGGCAATGGATCCAAGAACCTTGAGCCTTAAAGTTGGACCTGAAGCTGTTGCTGAAACCGCGGAGTAACAGGAACTAGCACTATTTGTCTTGATTAGGTCCACCATTATCAAGGCTTGGCTCAATTTCGAATAACTCTCAACTCATTTTGAAAATAATTTTGATTTGGGCTGCCTTCGAATCGCTAAAGTCAGATTTTCTTAATGTCAGCATATACATTAATGCACAGATTGCTTATTGAAAAGTGTTTTCATATTGAAAAATGTACGGTAAAAAACAAAATATAAAGCCGACCGTGACGGGATTCGAACCCGCAACCTCCGGATCCGAAGTCCGACGCCCTATCCATTAGGCTACACAGCCTTGCTGAAATCGTGCGAACAAGTTGACATTTTGAATTTCATCGAAAAAGAATCGATTAATACTGAAGCAAGCCAGCGTTACCCTTTATATTGAAAAACGGGGTAATTGGGTATATGAGTTCGTGTACTTTTAGGTTAGATATCAGGTTAACTAAATTCAGAAAATATTATCCAAGAAAATACTTCTCGCTCATGAGTATTGGCAGTTGACATGCATTTTCATTTAGCTGAGCGCTTTTTGGCCACTCAGCACTTTCTGCTAGACATGGAATTGCCAAATATTGTCGAAATGCCTTGAGACTGCGACAGAGCGTCATAAAGAGGCCCTTCAGCTTTGTGTAGTACTTCTGCAGCTCTCAATTGCTGAGGTGGCAAAACGACTTAAGTTGTTGGCATTATGAAAAACACTTGACAGCCCGTCCGAGTCCCAGTCCCAGTCCGTGTCCGTGTCCGTGTCCGAGTCCTAAGTCAACAACTGGGGCATCCTTCAACACCTTCCGTACGGACAGCAACATGGCACACCTTTGCGGTAATAAGCTGCAATTTTATTATAACAATTTCCGTCAGGCCGTGTGGGTTAGGGCAGCAGGGTTGGGTCTGTGCGCGGCCATTTCAGATAAATGAAAATAAAAAAATTGCATAAACAAAGGAACTCATTAAAATTTTTGGCAAGCCTGAAGAAAAATAAGTGTCATAAATACTGTCAACGAATTCTGCTCTTGGACTTGCTACTTTCAATGAAATGTTTAGACAGACACAGGCCCACTTGAGGCTCACTATTAATTTCCAGTAAATTGTGGTGCTCGGCTCGTATGCGTCCACGATTTTGTTGGTCTACTACACGCTTCATCTTTGTCAACTGTCATTGGGTCGGCATGTTGCACACATTACTCATACGCCGCAGGTGCCCAAATATTTGTTTGAATATCGCTAATGCGCAGCCGTATGCTATCGTTGTTGTAACCGCAAACAGGCAGTGTATCCGAAAGATACTTTCGCAGCACATCAAATTAGCGTTCTAACAAACTGGCCCCGAATATTTGCCCAACACTTTTGGGACGCCGGGCGCACACACACGCACACACAGCTAGTCTAGACCATAAACACACACGCGCAAGCACGCACACACACACACACCCTCGTATGCGTCCGCCAGGTGGGTTTTAGTTGAGTTTCTCTTGCAATTTATTCGCCGGCAAAGCAAACGCAGCTCAGCCAAAAGGCAAACAAATACAAATCCTATTTGAATTGTAACCATTTTGCTGAGTGGGGTAGGCAGTATATGGGGCTTAGTAGGTTCGTAAGTGTAGACAACAGCTTGGAATGAGACTTTGTTATTTTATTTATTTTGATTTTTTTGCTTGATCAGCTAACTGCGTGCCTCAATACGCTGCATTGGCGCTGAGCAAATATTAATCTGCAGACATTGACGGCGATTGCCCCACTTGCTCAAACCTGAAATTTCTGTGTGGTTACCCGTGTGGCAGGCTTGTGGCTTTGCATTCGCATTGCCCATGCAGCCAAATCAATTGCAGTTCACAGGCAAATTAAAATGAATTTTGAAATGAGAATCACGTGCCGCCGTTGCTGGCGGGTCGCGAGACCCTTTGCATCATCTCGTTGCACTCACTCTAGATTTAAGCTCCACTTGCGGCATCAGCAGCTTTTTGTTTGCATTCGATTCGCCTTGCCAAACATAGGATTCCGTGCATAAAGTGCATGACTCAATCCGGATTCGAATTATTCAAGTATCTGCTCACGGTTATGTGCAGATAGAATAGAGGGCATCAGCGACCATGCCAATTACCATCAACTATTTACTATTTTGCAGTGACTTGTTTGATCTTTCAAATGCAATAGATACCACGTATATATATGCTTCTTATAGGAACATAGATTTGTTTCATCTAATTATATTTATAAATATATAAATATATGCGTATCTATAAGATACTTGGGAACCTATATTTGTTTAATTTTATTGTTTTATTTTACAACTATTTAGACATGCGTATCTATAAGATACTTTAGATCATATCCCAAAATTAAATTTATATTTATACAGATTTTTTTCCTTCGAAATCACTTTATGCTTTGATACATAATTGAGTTGCAAGAAGTACGTTTAATTTAAACGCTTGAGACTGGACTTTGGATTAAATGCAACAATGTCCGCTTAATAGATACAGCGTTGAGCATAAATATTAATTAACGTTTAAAGCGACAGCGAAAGGAGAAGCAATAAAAATGATAATACCGAAAAAAAAAACGAATATTATATCTCCTCTTTTTGAGGAATATTTATCATCATCTCGCCCTAGCAAAACGGCAACAAACAAAAGCGGGGAAAACAACCTGACGAAATATGTAACAATAATAATAACATGAGGGCTCCAGTCGAAAATTCCAGACTAGAAGATACCCCGTTACTTCCTTTCATGCATAGATGCAAAGTCGATAAATATACATAAAATAGGGGGCAGATATCAAAAAAAGATAAAGTAGGTTTTACCAGAGTATATGTATTTAAAAGAGAGTATTTAATCAATTGCCGGACACAGCTTATCGTCTGCTTTTTACATATACTTGCTCGGAACTAGTATGCCCTTCCCTGGCCACTTTTAATTGGTGCAGGGTGTAAAATTGACAGCCGAATAAAAACAACAACAGTGCAAACAAATCAAATGACAGCTGATAAATTGTGCTGTTACACGCGGGAGCCAATTGACAATAATAATATGAAGCAATTGTTTGATTGGAGTCTGATTGAACTCGATTCAATTGAATTAAAGAAGTTTTTTAAGAATAAACATACATTATAACGCCTTAGTTTGTTATCTTGTCGATCTAAAATAATAAAATCCCATCGTGTCGGTGATATGATTAGAAACCAGAAAGGCTTTCAGCTTTTATTTTTGTTCTATTATAATCTATTAATTAGTTAGATTCGTACTCAAATTGTGGAGCACTTACAAGTATATTAAATTAATATTGATTACGTTTCAGGTATTTTCTTGGAATGCTTGCAACAGCAATTCAAAGCATTTCCTAATGAACCATAAGCAATGTGCGATTTAATACATATATAGAGAGATTTAGCCTTGAGAGGCAATTCTTAAACTGTTTGTATTCAACTGAATATAATATCATTAATAACTATAAAGCTACCTAAAATAGGCTACTACCAAATATTATATTAAGACCATAGTTTATTGGTCTTAAGCGATCTTTTTAAGCGATCTGAAAAACTTGCTGTATATAATGGGTGCTATTTTCTGAAACATGCGAAAGGGCGTCGTATTATTTGTAAAACATTAGTAGTATAAATTTTAATTATTTTTATATTTATATAAACCAAATATAATATTTTATTAATAATAACAAATGTGGTTAAGGTAGGGATACAAGTTTTTTCCATATATTATTATTCTTTTTATGAATTAGTTGACCTTGCATAGTTTTTCAAAGAAAACGGCCTTTGAGTGCATTTTCGAATGCGGAATATATATATCCTTTCAGTTTACCAAATATGGTTAGATAAAGCCAACGATTGGGGCCCAAGTTGTAAATGCTTTGGTGCCAGGTATCTCTCAAAATTTTATATATTTTTTTTTTGGCTACTGTTTTGGCAATTGCATTGGAATTTCGGTTTTCGGTCTTCAGAATTGTTTGCTCATATTATGAAATCTCCAAAAATGCATTAGGACAATTGGAAGAATATATTTTAGATAGATCCAATATGCTTTTTTATACTTTACGAATTGTGTATAGGGTATTTGCTTTCTGCTTTTCGCCTAACTTCATGTAACTTATGTTCGCCAAATGGTTATTTAATTTGTTTGGCAGCTTTGCATAAATTCTAAGAACATGGATACACCTGGCTTCTTGTGGCTTTTAAAGACGTTTTTGTTGTCGAATCTTTAGTTGTTGTTTTAGGTGCATGTAGCACACTTTGCGGCGCCGAAAGGTTGCCTACTTGCTAAACGTGTGGTTACACCTGGTTGCGCGTGTGTGTGTTTGTGTAGGCCTTGCTTTGGCGGTCGCTTAATACAAATGGTTTTCGATTTAATATTTAACGAAAAACCGCGAAAGCTGCCACCAAAAGTGGCAAACTAATTAAAATTGAGATTTTCAAGTGCGTCACCACTTTTTGTATATACTTCAAATGCACATAGGCAGCCTTTATATCTAGTTTGCGAGAAATCCAGCTAAAAGCGAAGCTCATTAGCTTTGAAAGGGATTATATTTGCATTCACAGTTTTCCGAGAAGCCACTTAAGGATTTAATATACAAAAGCAGTGGCTTTATTGTATATTCAGCTCCAGTTCCGGGAAGCAAATGTAGCTTCCATATAATGACATGATGCTTAGTTGTGCTATTTTTTCACGTCCTTTATATTATCTGAAATTACTTTGCATTTGCTTTTTTTGCTTTTCATTTTCATGCGTTATTTCTGTCAACAAATTGCAATACGTGCTATATGAGGTTTTTAAATTAGAAAAAATAAGACGTCTGCCAAAAAAAACATACTGCATCGGGTGCTAGAGTATTACCAATTCGACCATGCCCAGGCGATAACTATATTGCAGTTAATATAGTCTCTATCAAGGGTTATAAATGCATTTACAATTAAGCTGAAGCATTCGCAATTTAAAATTTAATTTGTATTCATCCGAGCAATTTCATATATTTATTTCTTCATTATTTTTGGTAATAAATTGCGTTATACATATATACAAATACATTTTCGGCCATGATAGTCAAAAGCT